TTATAAATATGTTAGAAACAATTGCGTGAAAGAAAAAAACAAAAAAAAACATTTGAATACTTATCTTGGGGTTCATTCCCTTAACATCAACTTATCTTGACTCAGACATATAATAGTTATTTCAAATAAGGGAAACTATAGAACCTATGTTTCTTTGGGCCTGGCATACTTCACTTAATGTAATTTTTTCCAAGTCTTTCCATTTCCTAACAAATGGGGCAATGTCATTCTTTCTGATGGAGGATGGAATAGGAGGAACCCTAGGTCTCCTTTGCACAGACCAAAATTTTCTTAATAGAGACCCAGAAACACAAGAAATAAAAGAAAGGTTGAACAAATGGGATTGCATGAAGTTGCAGAGCTTCTGCATGGCAAAGGACATAGCTAGCAAGATCAATAGAAAGCCCACGATTTGGGAGAAGATCTTCACTAGCCATACAACAGACAAAGGCCTCATATCTAAAATATACCTGGAACTTAAAAAAATTAAATCCCCCTACAACAAATCTTTAAAGAAACAACTGCCCAATAAATAAGTGGGCTAAAGACTTAAAGAGAAACTTCTCTGAAGAGGAAAGAAGGATGGCCAATAGACACATGAAGAAATGCTCAACCTCTCTAACCATAAAAGAAATGCATATCAAAACAACATTGAGGTACCACCTCACCCCAGTTAGAATGGCTATAATCAAGAACAACAGATGCTGGAGAAGATGTGGACAAAAGAGAACCCTACTGCATTGCTGGTGGGAGTGTAAACTTGTTCAGCTACTCTGGAAAGCAGTATGAAGGTTCCTCAAAAGACTCCACATAGAGCTCCCCTATGACCCAGCAATCCCACTTTTGGGCATTTACCCAAATGATCACAAACAAGACCATACTAAAAGCATTATTTACCATAGCTAAGATATGGAACCAACCCAGATGCCCTTCAGTAGATGAATGGATCAAGAAAATGTGGTATATATACACAATGAGTTTCTTTAGGTTTTATCTGCTGTGTGTTCTAAGTGGTATTTTCTCCTTGTTTGACTCTCAATTTCTTCTAGATTTTGATTATTAAAATGATCAAATGTACACCAAAAAGAGACTAGTATAATAAAACTATGCCTTAGATTTCAACAACAATCTAACAAAAATCTAAAGTCTAAAACAAAGTGATCATTTAGTTTCTCAACATTTCAATGTTAATTCCTACCACTTGGCTGTATGAATTAGCTTTAGTTATGAACAGCAGGGTAACCTCAAAACAAACGATCTACAGGAACTGAAAACACAAACCACATGTAAACTGCAGACAGGCCCTAGCATGGGACATCTTGTAAAAGCAGTAGAAAGTTAAACGCAAAAGGGATGCATGAGATTTGTGAATCCTAATGCTACTGCATGCCTCACTGGATCCCACAGGCCTCACAGAGGCTGTGCAAGGCACAGTTTTGCCATAAAACAGCTCCTATACTTATGAGGAAGAAGCTACTGACGTATCAGGAAAACGATCGATAAGCTAGTGGGGGGGGGGAGTGGGGGGGAAGCATTTCAATAATATCAAAACATTTATTTATACTCCATGTACTTTTCATTCAGTCTTATAATTTTGCCTGATTTTTGAATTTCTAAGAGCCATATTAATAAACATACAGTGGAAATTTGCACCTTTCTAGCATTTAACTATTATAAAAACCATAGGACATCACCAAAGCCCTCATGGAGTCCAATAATCATCAATAATATTACTACTCGTAACCCACAAGCAGATTTGACAGCTAGTAAATGACACAGCATGCTACTTTCTTTTAGTTGACTTATCCACAGCAAAGCTGTATAAAAACACTTTATCTTAGTATCCCACGCCATTCTAAACTGGTACTGATTCCTTATATTAACGCCCAACTGCTGCAAGAGAAAAAAGTGCATCAAATAAAGTGGAATCAGGAAACTCACTCTTAACTACTCATACAAGGTATGTTATGGTCCCAAGGCTGGGAGATCCTGTGAGAAACGTAGCTGCTGAGTGCCTACCCAGCCGAACTGATGTAGGAATAGCATTTTATTAAGATCCTTAGCTAGATGTAATGCTCATTAAAGTTTGGGAAACACTGAGCAATTATTTTTAATCTATATGTAGCTCCTGTGGCACAAATAGAAACTCATTGTATTTATTTTGTCATATATATTTTCTGATAATGTGGTGTCCTTCCTTTCGAGAATAAAATTTTTCTTAATCTCATATATATGATAAACCTGATTAAATATAATTTGATTATGTAATATTTTATTTATTAATGAAAGACAAACCCTTTCAGCTGTTTTCCCTTAAAATTAATATTTAGAACCAGTTGCTGGTGGCTCATACCTATAATCCTAGCTACTTGGGAGGCTAAGATCTAGAGGATGATGGTTAAAGGCCAGCCAAGGCATAAAGGTCTGAGAGAATCCATCTCTAAACTACTCAGAAAAAGCAGGGCTTATAGGCATGACTCATATGATAGAACATCAGCTGAGCAATTATGAAGCACTGAGTTCAGCCCCTAGTACTGTCAAAATGTAGCGAACAAAAAAATTAGCACTTGAAGACAAATCCTTGGTTTATAGTAATTAGAAGTCTTAACTAGATAAGGAAGCCACTACACATTTCCATAAGAACCAACAGTTTTATCTATGTTTTTATGTTATATTCATCAAGAGAAAATGAAGATGGAATATTAAAGCTGAGCATTAGGTAAAATAAATAGAAATCTTCCCACTAGCATATTCTAAACCCAAATTAATACGAAAACACAGACACACACATACACACACAATTTCATAGGGCTTCTCCTTATCATTTTCTACAGAGAAAATATATGAAGATAGAGTTTCAAATCTTTTGTTTGTTGGATACTTAAAAAATATTTTTAATTGGAGAAATATGAAAACAAGCATATTCTTCATTCCATTTCCTCTCTTGTATTATGAAAGTGAGCATTTTAATTTTTTAAATACGTTTTTAGTTGCAAAAATATTGTACAGAGGGGTTACAGTTACATGAGTAAGGAAATGAGTCCATTTCTTGTGGAGCGTTGTTACCCCTCCTTTGTTTAACATTCATTGGTAGCCTGAGGGGGTTTCATTGTGATATGTGCATACATGCACATGGAGCATCTTGACAAAATTCACCTCCTCCACCAATGCAGGATTACACCAGTGACTCTCCATGGAGTATTTAGGGCCTCAACCCTAACTGAGATCGTGTCACTCCTCCTCCTTTTTCTAAGGAACTACTTCTAGTACAATCAAGACTCTACTTCCTTGAACTGGTTCTCTGCCTCTCCAGCATGCAGATTATTTCTTGGCAATATAGCCTCCAGTTTATCTGGCAGTCAAATAAATGCTCTTTTATAATCATCTACACACACACACACACACATTTATATATACATGTCCTGACTAACACAAAAGTACATGTGAATATGACAAGAATGTCTTCATAGGTTTAGCATCATCTTTCTCTATGGGACCCTGGTTACTTGCACAAAACTTCATCCATGAATTCTCTCTGCCTTATCCAAATAAATGGCCCAAAGAACAGTCTCTAATTGAACAGTTTCAATGCAGGCTTTTGGGGGATCTCATTGCTATAAGTCTATAAAGATAATATCTGCCACTTTTCTTTCTTTTTCCCAAGTTGTTAATTTTAAAAATTGCTATCCCATGTCCTTCTGTGTACCTTATCATAGTCATTGAAAAAAAATCCATACACCAAAAAGGCAAGATCATGGCACTGACAAGATTGCTAATAGTCAGTGGACTAATAGCAACCACACATATATCAAAAGTCTATAAAATTAACTCTTTCTTTGATATGGAGCAAATGTACTTGATCTAGATCACCATGACTTACAAATTCCCACAGTAGTAGTAACTATTTCTACATTCTAGCCTAAAACATAATTGTGAAATGTCATCTTTATTCAGTCTGATTTCTCTCAGAGTGATTAAGCCTGAAATTAGTCATTTCTTAAAAAATCACATTTGGGAGAATATTTGGAATCTATATTAGTGCTGAAGAAAGTGATCAGCACAGCATAATTATTTACAAATTGAAACAGAAAATTAAAATGTTGTCAAAATGTAAGGTTTAGGTTAAAGTGTCATTTCTATTGGAAATTGACAAGCCAACACCTTGGTCAGGCTCCTTGTCCCACATTTACTGATGAAAACTCAGGAAGGGCCCCATCCTCATTCTCAGTTGTAAATGTGCCTCTAGCTAAGCTGATTTTCCTCTCTGGAACGGCTTGAATAGACATACTGCTTGCAAATGGCTAGTGCATGGATGAAATTCAGATACTTGGTATTTTCAAAGAACTGCAGGCTGTGGGATACGGAAAGGTAACACCACAGTGACCCCTGTAATACAGGATAGCGGATCACCCTCAACATGTAAAAGGTCGTTGCAAATATTTTCTATTTTTACATCCCACATCCAACACCCATTTAATAAGCCAGAGCACTAAATCTAAGAACTTCAAAGAAGCAGAAGCCTCAGGTGAACTTTGAGAAATCACTAAAAATAACTTGTTATATACATAAAATCTACACAAAGCCATCTCTACAAATGATCTTATTTGTTAAGATGGTCAGAAAAATATTCTCCTAGTTTGCCTGTCTAACTCATTATAAACTACTAGCATATATCTCTGAGAGAAAAATTCTTCTTCAAAGATGAGTTCAATATTTCACATCATAGCCAAATTTTATTAACTCATCATCTCTCCTATGTACTTTCATTACTTGTTCTAGCTGGTGACACTGTTTTCTTAGTAATCAGTGGCCTAAAATATAGACATCTGTCTTTTATAAATTTCGGGCCATCCATTCCTTGATCATTAGTTAATACTTCTGTCATAAGTTTTCCTAAAATATTTCTTGCTTCTGCATTTCCATAGTTCCAACTTGTTAACTGTGCTCTGTAGAGAATGTAGAGAGTAGAAATAATGTTGAATAAAATCCTGGAAACTCACCCAACCTTGCTTCTGCTCAAAGTAGATGAATACCCTTGATTCTGCATCTGTTTCCTTCTGAAAAAAGAAAGAAAATGTAAACTAAAATTAATAAAGGTTTAATTTTATTTGAAGCAGGTTTAGTTTTTTAGTTTGAGGACTTTAAAACTTGCCCCCACTTCCTGCCAAAGTTGTATAGTTCATTTTTGACATAACATCTTGTACATCTCATTGTTACAATGGGTCCACCTGTATCCCTATTTAAACAATTTGTTTTTTCTCTTCCCCTCCACAAATTATACCAACATCAAATACAGTGAAAACAGGGTGGGGGAGGGGGGAGATGGGAAAGGATGGGAAGGGGAAACAAAGGAGGAGGCAACAATGCTTGATAAGAAATGCACTCATTACCTTGCCCGTGTAATTATAAACCCTCTGTACAGTATTTTCACAATAAAAAAAAACTTGTTCACTAATACTTACATATTTCTCCCTTGCTAAAATGCATTACCAAAATGGATTCAGCACAGACCTCTTTATGAGAATAACATACATTTTCCAGGTGCTGGGACATCCATAGCCAAGATTAGGACCAGGAAGGCAAAATACAGAAGTGCAGATTTAAAGAAGCAATTATCTCAGACCTGCAGTTGCAAGGTTGGCACTAAATGTGCATCTTAGCTAATATCCTTGGAGACACATATTCTGTTGCCTCTGTAATTATGAGATCATCAGTTCTACTACAAGTTGTTTTGTTACTATTTATATTAGAATCAGAAAGACATATAATTTTGTCCAAAACAGTACTTTCTAAGTAAAATGAAGAAACATATATCTAGATATACAAAAAGACTTCCAATGGGGGCAAAAATGCTGTTCTTATAATATTTATTTTCCTACAGATAGATAAACATAATATATATTTGATGTTGATACAAGCTTTACAATTTAGTCAAACCATCATGAGATGCATAGCACAACATCATAAAATCATTCTGTAAATGCTTTGAACCAGCGGGATTTGGTTATTTCTGAAACCAAGTTTCCCCTCAAAGGCCCAGGTTCAGGGCTTACTTTCTGATGGGCACTTGGATCAATGCACATTTTCTAGAATTCCATGAGGGTACAATAGCATGCTTGATACTGAGTCTGAGAGACTAAGACAGCTCTCAGGGCTTTAAAAGAAAAATCAAAATCCACTGTATATATATATATATATAT